GAAGTGTATATCAAATACAACTACGTCAAACTCCTCAGACACCTCCGTGATCATGGGTACTGTAAAGCACTCACCACTAAGTAAAGGAATGAATCATGCGTTTTTCGGTACGTCCGCATTACACATAAATAAATTAATAGGTAAGAATTTTTTTAATGAATAAGTTACTAATAAATAAATAAAGTAAATAAATAAATTAAAGGGAGAAAATATAATTATTTATATCACACGTGATAGGTTCGAATGCTCAGTCGTTCGTCGTTAGTTATGAATACCGTAATGGAATGTAATAATTAATTTGACAGCATCTAACTTTCCATTCTATTACAATGTTCTTTTAAGGTTTAAAAGAAACAAGTTATATAACAGTTTTAAGTTTAAAAGAAACAAGTTACAGAACAGTTTTAAGGGAAGTGTAAACAGGCTTTGCTAAGCTAAACCAGTACACTTTACAATCTTCAGCTATATCCCGCTTATCAGCAGGTAGGATGATAGCATTCCCTTAAAATAGTTTAAAATGAAACAAAAAGTATTTATTACAAGTACCGTTACAATCTCTACGCTTTTTACTTACAAATTAGTAAAAATTTTACAGGATATAATCGTGTTAATTTATTCTTTATCTTACTTTTTTCTCTTTCTCTGTTCATTCTCAACTTCAAAATCAAAATTCTAGTAAAGGTCAGAGAATTACGAATGAATGCTCCACGTATTTCGTTGCCGTGCAAAAAGCAATCAATATTCGCTGAGTGCCTGTAAACTGGCAGCCAATAAAGGACTTGTGTTGCTAAATTGGTTTCGCTAGCTGCCCTAAACGTGGTTTACATTGTAAAAAATGGCTGTGTTATTGGCAGTTTGTTTTGTCACTGTTTGATAACACGTCAGCATGTTATCGTACTCGTTTCCAGAACATTTAAAATCACTATCACATGAAATCATTTAATAAGTAGCGCAAATAAATTAAATATATAGCTTGGACTGTTTGAATGACTTTTAAAGATATAATTACTATTATCGCTATGTTTTAGTGTTTTTTTACCGTATTCTTACTTTCAATAATTTGTCTTCATTTACGAAGTAGGAGATAATTTTAATTTACGGTAAAAATAATGCCACCTTCGTTTAGTACCTTTTTAAATGTATTTTTTTAAAAAAATTGATTATTTAATAATAATAGATTTCAAAGAATGCAATTCATGAACCAGAACTATGATGACGGATGATTTATGACCGATGGACACCTAAACAAAGTTGAATCGTTTGTAATATCAAAATATTCGGCTTTTAATAAGGTCAGAGAATTATTTGCATGCAACTAAGACAAAAAATACCAATTAATTTTTTTTATTTGTCGGTCCAGTCTTCGGAACGTCTGAACCAATTGTGATGAACATTTAGAAGTAAATACATAGCGTGTCAGGAGTGATCTGGAAAATATTTTATGCGGAAAGCTTGGCGATTTTTTGTGGTCGTCGATGAAAACACCACCCAGGTGCAGCCGGGGTGGTTTACTAATTTACTATATAATATATTATTCAAATATGAAAACCTTAAAAAAACAACACGGTAGTGATCATCTTACTGCCAGAGGTAGTCAATTATTTATTATTTTTATTCTGGATCATATCCTCGGCATAGCCTAAGAAGAATATAGTCTTAGAAAGACCAACATAAACATTGAAATGCAAAAAAAAAACAGATTTTATTTCATTTCATATTTAAACAAATTAAATAACTTAGTCAGATAATTAGTGTTCAGAATTAATAAAAATAGGTTACCCACGGTTATTTTTTACCGCACATCTAGGGTGTACTATTTTAAATTATTTGTGTGACAGGGCAACCCTAGCGGACAGCTCAGTAGGGTTAGCACCCTTACTTTATAGTAAAGTATTGTACGCTATTTCGGGAAACGTACTTTTGTACTTTATGAGACCAATATAGTACATAAAAATACTTTGTTTTAACTATTTTTACGATTTTAAAGGTTTTATTTTAATGTTTACTGATAGAACGAACTATACTTTACTTACAAATATCGGTTATATGCAACTGGATGGATTGCAGTAACGATTTCACTATTTTAAAGAGACTATCAAGAAGAACCCGTGATATAGGAAGAGAAATCAATTTTAAATAAATATAAATTAAAATAAATATTTTATCATTATTATGATAATCATTACACACAAGCCCTTCGCAAGTCCACTACTTTTTATTTTTTTTTACAGGATAGGGTGACAATCGAGCACACAGTCCACCTGATGATAAGTGGTTGCTGTGGCCCATAGACATCTACATCTATCCTCGATTACGAATCAAAATGCAGATGTGTTGTCACCCGTGAGGACTAAGATGGAATGCCTCGTTTCCAGTAAAATGGGTCGCCGGTTCTCTACACTCACCATACGAAATACAGCAGCATTAAGCTACTATTTCACGCTGGTATTCTGTGAGAGCGTGGTCCTTCCCCGGTCGAGCCGACCCATTCGTGCTACAACTATACATCTAATATAACTGCAGCATGGCTCTACCACGTATTAAAACACCTACCACCCACTACTGAACAGAGGCCTCCACCAAGGAAGGCAACAAAGCACGGTCCTGAAACATCTGCACCTAAAACATCCATCGACTTCCTTTATGTCTCACCAGGTCGTACCATCTTGTTTGGAGAGATCCACACCCCCTAATTAAAATGTTGTGAGTCTATAAATGGCAAGTAGACTAATTCATGTCAACGATACGCACGTCATCCCTCTTTAAAGGTTACGAATATGTAAACGCGTCTTACTCGTCCACGAATAACTCGGCGAAGAACTCGGCGAGCTGCTCGTGTAGGTAATGTAAACATGCCATTAGTAGTGGTTAAACTGTGCTTTCAGTAAAGAAAATACGTCGACGCTTAAATTCGATAGAGACACTTATTAAAAGGTTTCTTACCTTTTCCTATCCTTAGATTCCTATTATTAATTCTAGTTCTAACAAAACTTAACTTTAATTATGACTAAATATAATCAAAAATTTAGCCAAAATTTATCTACAAGCTTGACAAGGCCACTCAGAGGCATTTAACATCAATCTTTTTTGAACTTTGGAAACGTTTAACAATTGAACCATTTATCACGTCGCCGGATTTCTCCTCAAATTTGACAGGCTTAATAGGCTTCGATTAACCTCAGTATTATCTTAAACAAAAATTATAATCCCTTTAAAGCCTAAGGTTTTTAACATCTAGATATAGAATAAATCACTGGTTATTAAAAATTCGAAATCTTAACATTAAAATAAATAATACTTATTATTATTTAAAACTGAGCCTTTGAGGACAAAATAAACATCTCTTTTATAACCAGCGGCGTTGACAAGCCCGTGGATCACAATTGTATTAGCGTTTTGAAATTAGTAAATTTTGGTGGCAATTAGTGACTAAGTACAATAGTATTCCTTTTTTTCCCTGGATAATGTCACCAAAGCAAATAATTTTTACGATTCGAACTAATCTTCCATTGTTGTGTTTCCGATATAGGTTCGGAACTTAAGTTTCACTTATACACGGGACGTGTTTACTTTGAACTTACAACAAACAAGAGTGTGCGACTAATGGGATATTTGGTATGATTCAATTCCAACATCACTTTTTTACAATTTTTCATCTGTACCCATTTTTTTAGTTCAAGTAACTCGCTTCTCTTTGGACACTGCCTCACTCCTACTAAGAGGTTATGGGTGTGGCGTATGTATGTCATATTTGTTACTACTTAAACCGCCGTTTTACAAATTCTAGCAAATAAATAAATTAAATAAAGAACATAAGAAATAGAAGAAAAGGTTACAGACAGAAAAATATACAATTTGAAAAAATATTTAATCTGTGCAGTTTTTGAGGAAAGAAAAGAAAAACACGAGGAGCGATGACTTTGTCAATATATGTATTTTCAAAATTTTAATCAATCCGCGCTGCAGTTGCCTTTCCGGTTGTCCAGTTTGGTCGTTTGGATAGAACGCGACAGTAAAAGATCGTTTAAAACCTATTCTTCGTAGTTTAAACAGCCCGGATATCCTCCTAAATATTTTTATGTAAATTTATTCTAAGTCCAACTTAGGCCTCCTTCATACCACCTGCATCTATCGACCTGCATCTCTAACCAGTCGAAACTCCATCGAATGAGGTCGTACTATAATTTGATTACCGATTTGAGATTGCCACTCAGGAATCTTTTTCCCCAATCGACTGTCGGTTCTACAAGCAATATGGCCGAGCCATTGCCTGCAGTTTTACTCATAGTTTTTTTATTATGGCGCTTAAATCACCCAAATATCTACGAATCATAAACTCTTGGAGATCTTGAGAAAACGTCAAATTACTAAAATTAATGGTCTTTGATGGTTATCTTAAATCTAAATAACGCTAAGTTAATAATTTCCCTGTCCGCGAAAAAGACAATATTTAATTAATCAGTTAAATTGTAGATTTTTTATACGTGGTAGTGCCATGCTGCAGTTATATTAATAGTATTGACGATGCAAAGATTCTAACTAGCGCCTGTAGTGTCAAAATTGTGAATCTGTCTAAGAACGACACTTTGACAGTTTTCGTAACAGTTAACGTCAGGGAAAAACATAAATATTAAATACAAATAATATTTATGTGGCATTTTGCTGTTTAAGACAATAATTATGTTGTCAATAGTCGATGTAATTAATGCGTCTGTAGGATACACAAAACCAATGCGTACTGGTGAAGAATTATTACGGAGTGGAATGGTGATTTCGGTTGGAAAAAAAGAGAAAAATAATAACATAATTCACGTACAAGCACTGGTACTGCGCACGTCGGGATTAAATTCCAAACATCCAGCCATTATAAAATTGTGGATATATGTATCTCAAGAATATGGAAATAGATAAGTTGGTAATAATAAAAGAAACAAGAAGTCACAAAGGTCTGCGATTGCCCTGCTGGAGCTTCAGAGAAATGTAAACACATATTAGCTGTCATGATTTATCTATCAAGGTTTGTGAATTGATCAATAAATTTTATATCCATTTGTCCTACCTCATCCATATGCACTATGAATACTATAAATGTTAAAGTAGGTACCTAATTTACTCTGGCCTGTCTGTAACAATTTTACTGCCAGGTAATAGATAATGTAAAGTACTTACCTATATAAGTACTAAAATTAGACCATAATTGTAAATGATTAGCTATTTTTCTCTTTTTTCAGAACTGAGGAGGCAGATCTGGAGGACCTGAGTTGTACCGACATTGAGAAACAATGGGGTACACTTAAAACTACAGCACTGAAGAAATACGAAGCAAAATCATTGTCTGAAATGTGCCATGTGAAAAGACAGAGGGACATCTATGTGAAAACAATGCCAAAAGTCACTGAAGAGATGGAAAGTCATTGGAGAATGAAGTTAATGCAGAGTAAATACTTGTAAGGCATAAGAGTATATGGCACCTACCTGGAAAACATCAATTTGATAAAAAATATTATATTTGCAGATTGAATGTACAATTACAAACTAAAATGAAGTTTCAAAAATTATGTTGTTTATTTCAGGCACACAACAGTGAATATTCTTTATTTACAAGTCTCATGCGATGAGGTGATGGAGTTGTTGATTATGGTGAAAGGGTAATTAGTAGAAGTGTAGACAAGACAAAATTTCCTGAAAAACTATTGAATTTTAATTCGTGGCGGGTAATGAATGTATTAAGAAAACTGACTGAAGAAAAGTTGAAGACATGTGAAGTAAATGAATTTGAATTTTACAACAGATATGTAGCTGTATCATTAAACCAAAGTAAAGAAATAATCAATGCTGAGCAGGGTACTCCTTCTTGGAATAAAGCTAGAAAAGTAAGACTAACAGCCTCCAAAGCGAGAGCCCCGTTTACTTATTATTCTAATAAAATTGCTGATTGGGATAAAAGATATCAAGAGGTTTTTCACAGTAATTTCCTTGGGAATGAAGATACTATCAGAGGCCTTCGCTGTGAAGCAGACGCAAGAGATTTATATGCAGAGCATTATAGCTGCATGATTTTAGAGTCTAGATTGCTGGTTCGACCAGAATTACCATGGCCTTCTGCAAGTCTAGACGGTACTGCCATGGATAAAGATGAAAATTTTCTTAGAAATATTGAGATTAATACATAAAGGAAGGAACCCGTTTAACTGCAGATGAACTTATAGAAATGAATGCAATTCCTATATTGGATAAAAATCAAAATTTGAAAAAAAAATACTCAGCATTATACTCAAATGCAAGTAGGTATGTTATTGTCAGGTATTACAGAATGTGATTATTTAGTTTACTCTGAAATAGGAAAGGATTTAGCTGTAAGAAGAGTTTCATTTGATGAAAATCATATTTTGGAAATTTGTGTATGTCTTGTTAATGTTTATTTTGAGAAATTTCTTCCTAGAATAGTTAATGAGTATGGATTAAATTATGACTGAATTTGAATAAAAATAAATACAACTCTGTGTACTAAATTATTTATTCACTGTAAAAATTTATTGCCACTCTTACAATACCCTTCCTATTCATAAGCTTCCCTTGTTTCGCTTTTAGGTATAATTTTCAATAACTACATAAATTTATCAATGTGAATAATTGGTGGACCCAAATTTGTAAGACCACCAACAATAATTAATATACTCGTATCATCAAAATAAAGCGCCAGTGACCATGGTAATGGTCCACATAGAAGTTTATATTGTCGTAATCTCTGTATCACTCTCTCAACATGCACTCTTGCCCGTGCAATCTCTGCAGTGCGGATTGTATCTTCTTTGGTCATCTGCTTTTTCTGACTCAAGAAAGGAGGCCTGACAAGCTGAAGCAGACGCTGTAACAAGAACATTAATATGTAAATAGATTGCATAATTAATCAAATGTTATTTGTACTAACTATTCAATTAATATCCTTAACTAACTTCATTACATTCGGATTCAATCCTGTATCCTTTATCCACCATCACTCCATCATTAAACTCGCATTTATTTAACAACTTCCATGTCCAATGAGTCATATACGACTCACAAGAACTTATTAGAATAAGTTCATGAGTCACCTGTGACTCATTTTTCTATACAATTTGAGGCATATTTTTCGGTATGAACGCGATCCGAATTTTTTTTAAAACATACGTGGACGTATAGCAAAAACCCTAATACTTACAATGACAAAATAAAATTTCGCGATTTTTTTATATTTTTAATTTTATCAACAATAACCCTACAAGAAATTTGCCATAAATAAAACTCAAATACTGGAATGTAAGGATTTTATAAAAAATATATATTATAAAATCAAGCATGTTTCTCATTATAACATTCTAAACAGAATGCTTTTTCACACCATTTGCACTCAGTGTGTACTTGCTTCGCTTTTATTGCGAATAATCCTTCATTTTTCAATTTGACATAGCACCCAGTGAATCTTTTTCGGACGAGTTGATTGTTTGCCTTTCGAGGTATTTCTTGTAGAGAATATCTAGAATTGCTTGAAGAAGCTGTTGAAGATCTTGGAGAGCTACAGGAGATGGAAGATTTTTGAGGTTGATTTCTTTCTGTTGTTGATGCTACAGGTCCAAGAAAATGTCGGACTAGATGTTGTTGGACTTGTAAAACTGTCAACTTAGGACCGTCTGCCAACTCGTTGTAGAAGCATCTGGCATTGATAATGGCGACTTGAAATAGAAAATCTATTGCTATCTTTTTGTACCATGTAAAATTTTTACGTAACGGCGAATGAAAGGAAGCAAGTTGATCTGAAATGTCAATGCCTTTTTTGGCATCATTGTAATCGATGATTGCATCAGGTTTCATAACGTCGCCGCGTTTGGTAGTGATGTTAGACATACCGTCTCCATGGCAGGTTGAGATCATAAGGACATCGCGTTTATCATGCCATTTTAGTACAGTATAGAGGTTGTCCTTTTGTCTAGCTATTTGTTCTCCCCTTCTTAGCTTCGCTTTTACTACTTCTTCTGGCAAATTACTTTTATTTTTACGTAAAGTGCCGCATAAATCAGTATTACGACCTTTTAGATACTCAGCCAATGGCATAATAATACGACCCGTATCTAAAAGCGGCTCTGTAAGCTGTACCACTGTTGAACCAGGTTTATCAAGACCCTCTAATTGATGCGAAATCCCGGAATAAATTTGGTAGGACCATGTGTAGCTATTTATTGTGCAGGCCTTATATATTTTCATACCGTAGCGATCTGTTTTGGCTGGGTTATAAGTTCTTATTAGCAACCTTCCATGAAATTTGACCAATGACTCATCAACGACAATAATATCGGAAGGTATATAAAGACTACGAAAATTGTTTACCATTTTATGTATGAATGGGTCAATTTTATGAGTTTTTTGCTCTCCAATGACACCTATTTGGATTTCTGTAAAGTGCCAGTATCTTAGAATGGAGATGAACCTGTTATACGACATATTTATTCTGTGCATAAGAGGATTATAATATAGCACGTCTAATTTCCAGTAGTGCTCAATGGACGGCTTAGGATTGAGACCCATGTAGATTATCACTCCAAAAAATGTTTTCAATTCCTCTCTAGTGACGTCTTTCCATCTCGTCATTCGACTAAATTGTGCAGTTCGTAATTCCTTTAACAACTGAGCGTAATTATTGGTATGAATGACCATAACATCAATTAAATCATCAAGTGCAAAATAAGCATAAATTTTAAACAAACTAACTTTCCCATCTTCAGTAATTGCGTCGATATTTTGTACACCGTGATTGCCTATAAACGTTTCCCTCCCTAAAGGCAAAACATCTCTTTTCCATTCGGCATCAGATGGTTTGAATAATGATGAACTTGCTGGTGTGGGTAACGGACTCTCAGTACTTCTGCCTGCACTACTTGCTATAAAATCTGCAATTACCTCGGTATCCTCGATGTCTTCATCTTCATCGTTGGGCTGATATTCTTCGTCACTTCCACTACTAAATGGTTCTTCATCTGAATTTTCTAAATACCGCAATAATTCTTCATCTGTATATCTTCTCTTAGCCATTTTCTAGATTTTTTTAATTTATAACCACAAATAGACCTTTTTCCAATAAAATATTAATTATAACCTCAAATAAACATTCAACTTTCTAATCTAGTAGTAGTTATGACAGTCGATTGACATTTGACGGATGATGTTTTGTTACTGTCACTCAAAAATGCACTTGGAGGTTGTGTTCACACATGACTCATTGAACGTGGTAAATAAAATTTATCGCCCTACGTCCGTGAGTCACATGTGACTCAAAAAAAAAAACTGAAAATAAAAATTGTTTATTCTTTGTATATTATGAAAGTTATTTTTTATGATATAATAATGATTTTATTTAGCGTAACAATAAAAAAACCTGTGGACGTGGGGCATTATCAAAATGAGTTGTATGGGGACAGGGAAGTTGTTAAGATTCCTGATTCATTTACAATATGTTTATCTGATGCTCGACCACCATAAGATGCACTTATTTCAGTTATAAGGCCAGAAGGAGTTATTCCAATATTAAACTTGTATTGTTTTTTTTTATATTGAGAGTATGTCACTATTCTACATTTTAAACATTTACATTTTTCAATCACAGTTTCAGCACAGTCTAATATAATTCTTGTATTTTTATATTTTTGGAATGATTTAGGTAGGTTGCTACGTATCATTTCGATATCAGGCCAAGGAATAACAACTTTGAGTACTCTACTCAGCATGGGGCACATATTATTAAAATAATTAGAACATGTCTGCCTGTTTATACCAAACAAAACACCAATGGCTCTAAATGACATATTTTGTTTAATTTTTACCATTGTCAAAATAACTCTGTCACTTACAGATAACACTTTCTTATTTGTTGGAGCATCTAAAGCCAATTCACTAACACAAGTCACCAATGTTTCTAAAACTTCTATTGAATGAATACCCGTAAAAGTAAATAAATACATATCACTGCTGAGTAAATCTGAGAGGGTTAATTGCTTTAAAGCTGATCTATCCTCTTCCCACATAGGAAGAAAATTTATTTGAGTGCACTTTTCCAAAGGTTCTTTGTCACAAAGAATGTCAGCTATACTCAAATCTACTCGGGGACGATAATTTCTGTAATCCACTAAATTGACTTGTGTCGATGAAGTCATGACATGAAGATGACTGTTGTTATCAGTTACATTATTGCCCTCAAATCCATCTTCAAATTTAGTTTCTTCATTCTCAATAGCAAGTCCAAGCTCTTTATTTGATTCCACTATTTTCCTGTGTCTAATATCAGCCCCATTTTCTCGAGCATTTGATTTTATTTTTTGGGCTAATGGTACTTCTTTATCAGAGCTTCTTTTAGGTATATTCTGAGACGGTACGACATAAGGAAACAACTTCTGCCTCTTAGAATCTGGAACAATAAATAATCTCGTTATCTAACGAGAAGCTCGCCTTAGCGTAAACTGAATGAATAACATAGGAAATACATATAAATATAATTTATGTACAATAAAATAATTAAAACATAATTATACTTACTGTTTGGAAAAAAGTCTGAAGCTTGAAAATGATGAGAACAAACTCTCATTGATGGTGAAATTGGCTTGCCTATTCTTAAAGCAGTCTTCCATTTTTTCTTCATAATTTTGTCTTTTGGGGATAAATGAAAACTTATTCCCGTATCTACGTAAGTACTACATTGAGGAACGCAATATTTCGTATTTCTGCTTTTATTAGCAACAGGTTTCCGTATATAATCGTGATCCATCTGAATAATCTAAACATAACCTCAACAAATAAACAAACAAAGTGTCGTCCTTAGACAGCTTCTAAATTTCGCCACTAGAGGCGTGCGGATAATCTTTGCATCGCCTATAGTTGTAGCACGCATGGCTCGGCTCGACCGGGGCGGGACCACGCTCTCACAGAATACCGGCGTGAAATAGTAACTTAATGATGCTGTGTTTCGTATGGTGAGTGTAGAGAACCGGAGACCCTTTTTACTGGAAAAGAGGCATTCCATCTTAGTCCTCACGGGTGACAACGCATCTGCATTTTGATTTGTAATCGAGGATAGATGTAGATGTCTATGGGCCGCAGCAACCACTTACCATCAGGTGGACTGTGTGCTCGTTTGTCACCCTATCCTATAAAAAAAATTCTGGCTTCACCAGGTGAGAAACTTTTCTAAAGTTACAGCCTATATACGTCCCACTGCTGGGCACAGGCCTCTCCTCATTTCTGAGAGAGTTATTAGGGCTAGGAAGTGTCCGCAGCGCTGCCCCAATGCGTGTTGACGAACTTCACGTATCTTCGATTTTTTTGTATTTCTCAGACATGCAGGTTTCTTCGCGATGTTTTCCCTCACCTCTGAGCACGTGGTAAATCAGCACTTAAAATTGCAATTACAAATTCATTTGTGCCGGCAGGGATCGAACCCAGTTTGCTCGCGTACTGTGAAATTTACAACGAGCACAAACCATCTGAGATACCACGGCTCTTCTAATCTACCTATTATCAGAGCCTGAAAGTCATGGTTTCGATTCTACCATTTGACTACTGTAGTCTGCCCCTCCTATCACAAGCTTTTAAGCATATTTGGAGTGAACAACTGGAATATTAGTCATGTTACTTACGCTACTATTAATATTTTTTTTTAAATATAAAACATAGTAAAGTGGAGTTACATCTTACATAATATGTACATTTGTGGGCATATGAATACTTATTTCTGGGAAAGTTTTGCCCCATGGCGTGGTGTTGGACTAAACACGCCTTAAAATATTTTTTTTCAATTTCTCAGTCATGCAGGTTTCCTCACAATTGTGAAGGTGAACCTTCACCGTCGAGCACGTGTTCAATAAGTACTTAATTGGACCCGGCGGGAATCAAATCCGGGCTGCTTGCTTTCTATGAAATTTACAGCAAGCGTTTATATCAGGGTTACTCCGGCTCTTATAGGTAAAAGTTATACATTAAAACGCACCGAGAAATCAATTAAAGAGAATAAATTTTCAGTATTATGACCGCCTTCATAATATTTGTTTTCATATAATAGGTAAATTAAATAGAAAAGAATATTTTTAAATAACTATTAAGTATATAACAAAGATTCTGAAAAAATAATATAATGTATATCATTTATGAGTATAATAATTCAATAAAATTTTAAATAAATAGTCAGAGGAAATCTTACTTAACTTTATATTGATTAAGCTTACTATATACATACCAACTTGTTCTACTTTTAATTAATTTAAAACAGTTTTTGAGTAGCGCCTTCGTCTCTAACATCTTAAGTCGAAAATTTTAATTTATACCGCAAATTTGTATTTGCCATCGCATCAAAATACTTTGCTAAATTTTGTTCATTAATTTAAATCATCTGTACAAATAAACATACAGGCTGGTAGATATCGAAGTGATTGCATATTTGTTTCTATTTTTCGTATGACATGAAAGACATTAAAAATCGGTTAAAGTAAAAAAACTACAATTAAATAAAAATATGTATGACCTTCCTAGACCTGCACGCCATTTTGTCAGGTTTATCTACATCTAAAGTCGGATGGCGTCGTTTCCTCCAAATAAAACGAGTACAGAAATTAAATTATTAAGACACTATTTTTGTTATCATAATGAATAAGAAAACAAGAAAATATATTTAATAACAACAAAAATCAAGACAATTTTAAATATATTTTCATCGTATACTGCTTAGCAAAAAAATTATAAATCTTTCATTAATTTTTACATCAAAGTATTGCTCTTGAAATTCTCTTTCAGACGCTGTAATTGTTTCGATTAAAAATTTATATTTTTAATAGAAATTTGCAATGAACAAGCGAACCAACGATTCACCTCATGGTGAGTAGGTACTATGTGTGTTACCCACATCCACTTGTAATCTCAATAGTGGCTCCAGACGGATAGTTTTTGAAATGAACACGGTTAAGAAAATGGTCATGTGGAGCATCCATGTCACACCTACCTAGGTAGTTGTTTGGAGCACTACCCTCAAAATTACTGATAACAATGTAATTACCTAAAACAAATTGTCAAAATTAGTTAATTCGACAACCAAGAGGTAAATCAGCGGCTGTCATCACGGCATGTCAGCGTTCGGGATATTATGATTCATCTTCTTGTCACATGTAACTTACAACTTGAAAATAAGAGTGTGTGTGTAAATGTGAGAGTGGGGCTAGAGATGACATTTGTACCCGAGACGTGGTTCTTCGTGCTGGCTGTTTTAGTAAGCTTAAGGTCACTGAGCTAGCTATCGAGTGGTCTATATTCGAAGTTGTCTACGTACTTCAAAACGAAGATATCCGCGATGGAACCGGAGTAACCAACAAAGTCCAACGTATGAGTATAGTGAAGTTGCAATGGGCCAGCCATAAATCTTGAAAGCTGAAAACCGATAGCTAAGAAAGATTCTTAAGAGGCACCCTCGTACAGGTTGTCGAAGTGAATGCCGTTTCCCTATTAGTTAGTGTGACAATGTGGTAACAGATGCAGGAAGTCGATGGATGTAGGTTCGAGACTGCGCTTTGTTTCAATACTTGGACAATCCTATGCTCAGCAATGAATTTGTGAAGTACTGTAGTGATCGTGATGATGATGATCCGCGCCACAATTATTACACTAGGAAAGACACACCACTATAATTAATACAACACGATTTTCGCCTCTTACCGTGGCATCATCAGAAGAAAAAAGATCCTTTAGTAATGTAGTATGTAGCGACACTTTCGTTTTAAATGTATTTTTTTAAATTCCCTTCCATAAGTTCTTTTTATGTTTCATGGAATAGTCATTAAATATCTTTCTAGATCTCTTACTAAATAGTAAAATGGTATAAAAGAAGATACTTTGTATTTTAGAAACATAGTTTCTTTAAACATTATCGAATATTAAGTATAAGAAGAGTTTTAATAAAACACAGGTTCAAAGGGAAAATTGCCTACAGATAAGTGGAATTCTTGACCTTTTGAAAGACACGGCTTATGTTTTATAAATTAATTTTTAAAAGGAGTCGGTCATATGTCATTGTACTTAATGTATGCTTAGAGTAATTACATACAAACGATGTATGTAACGCGATATTTTTAGATAGGTTATATTTTAAGCTTCTATAATCATCATTCATCATCATCATTACAGTCCTTCACAAGTCCACTGCTGAACATAGGCCTCCCCCAAGTAATGCCACAAAGCACGGTCCTGAGCCACCTGCATCCATAGACTTCCTGCATGTCTTACCAGGTCGTCACTCCATCTAGTGGGGGGTCGCCCTACACTACGCCTACCGGTACGAGGCTGCCACTCGAGAACCTTTCTTACCCATCGGTTATCGGTTCTTCGAGCTATATGGCCGGCCCATTGCCACTTCAGCTTACTAATCCGTTGGGCTATGTCGGTCATATAATCATAACATATTTAAAGACCATTTCTATAATTAATGTAAATAAAAAAAATTACATTATCAGTTATGCTTTACCAGTAATCACTACCATGTTTTAAATTACTCTGAATTCAATTCGTAAGTCACAGCATAACAAGAGAAACCTATTAAAATAAATTCTTGTTTCAGTAATTTCAACGTCAGTATAAGCCTTAAGCTTTGAGAAGTGCTCCTAATAAGTTATTTTTTTATATAAGAGGGGGCTGATTTCGACATGACGTGTGTTCTGAAATTTGGCGGCTGGAACTAATCCGAATAATTTCTCAGAACACTCCCCGTGGTGCTTCACAATAACGATATTTGAGCGTAAATTTAAGAGATGTGTCGGCATGAAATACTGTCTCGCTCTACTGAGCACGCCAAGCTTTTTAGAAGCCAATTTGGCCTTCCCCTCCAAGTGACCACAAAACTACACACTATTCGATATGTCCACGCCGAGGGTTCCGATGCTAGCTAAGGCAACAAGGGAGTGCCTTCAAACTGAGGAGATACTACAAAAGGGTTCTTTTTAGCGGTTAAATTAATAAGTTATATGTTAGATAGAATTTAAACTTATTCTTGATTTACCATTAAGAACAAATTTTACCGAAACAAACAGAACAAAAAAAAAAACAAACCCCTCCATATTACCTCCTTGTTGTTATGTGTGTGTGTGTGTGTGTGTGTGTGTGTGTGTGTGTGTGTGTGTGTGTGTGTGTGTGTGTGTGTGTGTGTGTGTGTGTCTTGTGTGTGTGTGTGTCTGTGCGTGTGTGTGTCTCTCTCTCTGTGTATGTGTGTGTCTCTCTCTGTGTGTGTGTGTGTGTGTGTGTGTGTGTCTGTGTGTGTGTGTGTCTTCTCTCTCTCTCTCTGTGTGTGTGTGTGTGTGTGTGTGTCTGTGCGTGTGTGTGTGTGTGTGTCTGTGCGTGTGTGTGTGTGTGTGTCTCTCTCTCTCTCTCTCTCTCCTCTCTCTCTCTCTCTCTCTCTGTGTGTGTGTGTGTATGTGTGTGTGTGTATGTGTGTGTGTGTGTGTGTCTGTGCGGTGTGTGTGTGTCTCTGTGTGTGTGTGTGTGTGTGTGTGTGTTCTGTTTTGTGTGTGTGTGTGTGTGTGTGTGTGTGTGTGTGTGTCTCTGTGTGTGTGTGTGTGTGTGTGTGGGTATGTTTGTCTGTGTGTGTCTCTGTGTGTGACGTATCCACTA